AGTTACCTATTAACCGGTAAACGGGATTGTATTACAGCAGAGGATGATGGGGAAAAAATTCATTACAAAATTCATAGTCATCGTGTAACGAAATCGTCATCGCGCTACGTTAATGAAGCAAGTCTCTTGTTAAAATAAAATAACTGTTCGGAAATATTTTTTGTTCATTGCAAACCTCAAACTGTCGGCTACAAAATACCTATAGAAAGTTCCGTTCGATACTGCAGAAGATTCGCAGAAAAATTAAGAACAATCACATCACCCAGAATTTTTGTCCTTTTTTCGTCATCGCGTGTCCTCAACTATTGTTGCTATAGTTTTCGAAGCGCTCACTCAATCGAGCTCATATTTTCAGATATTTTGAGCAAGACATAGTCACATCTTCCAACGAAAGAACGCACCTTTTAAGTAATCTAATTGCTGAGAAAACTTAAGAAAACTGTGGACAAAACGTCATCGCGTTACGCTCGGACAAGCCGATATATATAGAACTAGCGAGTCCCCGTGCAAAATGCACGACTATTTTCATTTTAATTTTATGTAAGGATGTATAGTTACTTAGTAATTGTGTTTAATTGCAATCGAAAGTCTATAATATAGCTCGTAGAAAGGCTGCTTAGTTTTACTACGTTTATTTTTTCAGTAGATATCTACGATATCTACAAAAGTATCTAGAGTACAGAGAAAAGTTATTTAGAATATTTAGAAAAGTTATCAGGAATATAGCTAACCTTACCTACAGAGCTGGGCAAGTCAGAGATTTTCCAAGTCACAAGTCAAGTCAAGTCAAGTCAAGTCAAGTCTGACTTGACTTGCCCAGCTCTGCTTACCTACAGTATATACACAATCTATGTACAAAATTTACAAAACTTCATGAAAAACTATATTTCTGGTTTTCTTTGTTTTACTATTTTTCTTTTCTTCTATAACCTGCACCTTGATAGATCCCAGTGAACGCACGCGTGAAAAAGCAACATAGAGTTGGCCATGACTGAAAATGGGTTGTGGCAATAGTAGTCCCAATCGATTGAACGTTTGTCCTTGTGATTTATTGATAGTCATAGCAAATGATAGGCGAATTGGGAACTGGCGCCTGTGTAGTTTAAAAAGGCAAAAATGTATCGGAAGGTATCAAACTAATCCTTGGTATAAGAGTTCTGTTCCCTTTGTTAGATCCTGTCGCAACTTCGCAATCGACTGTATGATTATGTAAACGTCTCACAATGAGTCGGGTACCATTACAGAGCCCTCGGTTCACATCTAAATTTCGAAGAAGCACCACTATTGCACCAGCCTTCAAGTTGAGTTTATGAGGAGGCACCCCTGATGGAGTAACACTATTCAGAAATTTTGTTGGATAATTGCAGGCATCTTCGCCATCCTCACATTCAGTGCCATCCACGCTTGAGTACACTTTTTCTATTCCAGGTAGACGTTGAAGTACTTGCTCATTCACGATAAGAGAATGCTCGTTTTTGGGGCACAGAATCACTCTGTCACACAAATTCGGAATATCTTCCAGAGAAATATGCTTGCCAAATATTTCATCAGCTAAATTACCATCTGATATGCAGCCTGTAGGCAAATCAATTTCGTCATTTTCATTTCTTTTAATTTAACAAGTCAACACGAATTTGTAATTTTTAAATGTATAATAACAAAGAAAATAAATATTAACTTAACATATTTTTTTGGTTTTTGTTTTTTATATATTTTTATTACTTTTTAATAAATTAGAAGAATAACAAGGGGAAAAAAGAAAACGAAAAGAAATAATAACAAGATAATAAATAATTAATTAAACTATGGATAACGCGAGGCCTTTTGAATATTTTTCTTTATCAAGCGAGTGTGAGATATGTGTAAATGAAACACAACAGTCTCTTATATAATCACTTTAAATAATCTAATCATAAATTTATCAAAATTGGCATAATTGATCAAGAGGCACCACTAATTAATGATCATTTCATCGATTCAACATATATATTCTATACTTTCTGTTAGGTATCCCCCACATTCGTCCCATAATTCGTCCCACGAAATTAGTCCCATCTTTTTTTACCCTAATTCGTCCCAGTTAAAAATTATTTGATTCTTAACTCGTCCCATTCTATATGAGAGTATCAATTAACATGAGAGAAAGTCTGGTTATATTTTATTGATTATCATCCAATAAGAAAATAGAGAAGATAAACACAGATAATATTTATTTCTTTTTTTTTATTTTCACTGTTTTGCCAGATTCGATTGCAAGTTCAGTTGCTGTTATTCGTCCATTTTCAAATTGATGAATCAGTTGAAGAAGTTTTGCATCAATTTTTTCGTAAATATTTCTTCTTTTTTTCTTGTGAACTTGAGCTTCCTCCGCTTTATGATGCTGATATTCATGTTCGTCTTTTAAACGTCGAATGAATTCGTATATATGAGGATGTGGTGGGAAAACAGTTGACATACGATGGTTGTAGCATTCTGCTGCATTATTATTACGTGGAAGTTTTTGTTGAATATTAGTAAAGACGTTCCAAAGTTCTATTGAGTATCGTGATGACTGCTGACAAACATAATTTTCGACCATATAATCGTTAGAATCTTGAGCAAGTGGAGTTTCTGGAGTGTATTCATCCATGATATTGGTCCATACCGATTCTACGTGAGATGGTGGTATTAATGCGAGCCCAATAGCTCCATAAAACCAAATATAAGCAGCTTTTCGCTGTTCTTCAGACCAACTATTATTGTTTGTCTTTGATTTAGAAATCAATGAATTAAGTTTTAGGTCTTGCACCTTTCTCCATAGAGCTTGAGAGTAATGGAAAAAGCATGCAGTAATTGAAATATTACGAAAACATTTAGCAGCTGCATTGATACTCCCAAGCTCAAAATCACAAGTTAGAGACTGTGGAGAAAACCTTGTATTAAGCTGTGAATAGCCAATAGATATAATGTGATTCAAAATTTTTTCATAGGTAACTTGGTCTTGTCTTGAAGTTAAACAATAAATGCAAGGAATAAGAAAACCATCAAAATAACCGAAAATAATATAGATCTGAGCAAATAATAAAGGTCTTGTTAAAAATGTTCCATCGGCATGCCATCCCGAACAAAATGATAAAAATTTAATACTCCATCTCGAACCGAATAGCAAAATTCTTTCTTTGTTATCATCTATAATCAACATCTTATTATATTTTTTTAAACGTACAGTTAATCTTACAAGTTTCATCAACCAACAGAAACCGTTCTCCAGATCTTGTTAGACACCATTCACCTGATAAAACCATATCATTTAAACATTTTGGTAAGGTTGGGTAGTTAAGAGAACGATGATAATAAAGTGAAGAATCAATTGAACTAAGAGTAGGAAAGTAATAACCAGTTGGAACACCAGGATGTCGTCTTCGTGTAGCTACTATTTCTTCCGCATAAATTTCTGATATAGATTTTGTTTCTTCTCGTGCTCTTCTTTTCATAATTTCAACTGTTTCTTCCACTATTATTTTACTTGGTTGAACAGCTTGACAATATTCGCTGTGAATACTAGGTTCATGACGCACACATGTATTATCAAGAGATAACGTTAATGAACTTGAGCAACTTCTATTTCGACATCTCCATTCCACACAAGCTTTATTTATTCGCTTAACAGTATATTGAAAATCCAAATAATTTAGTACTTGCTGATTTCGTTCACTAGTTGTAAATCGAAGCATATCACAAAAACGAGATCAAGTTATGTATAAAAATTATCATATCCTTTTGTCTTTGATTTTATGTATCGCGTAGCTTGATCCACCAATTTATCAAAAATAATAGTGAGATGTCACCATTAAGAGTGTTCTAGTAGTACATACTAGAACTTCCGATTGTTTCCAGGCCATTTTCTTTTCTATTGCGTGATTATATTATACATAGATGAACTCTGTTACGATCTTCAATTTAGCTTTAATTGATAAGTAAAGTCTCTTGTAGAATGGAACAATTAGTATTAATGTTGTCACATGGGACGAGTAAAGAATCAAATAATTTTTAACTGGGACGAATTAGGGTAAAAAATACGGGAATAATTTCATGGGACGAATGAGGGGTAAACCAGAATATATTCAACTGAGATCATTCTTTTTTTATCTTTCATTTTCACTCTCCTTCTTCTAACTAATTAATTTTCCTATGATAGCGACAGTTAATTAATGGTTCAATTCTAGGTTTCAACTATAAAATAATGAGTTCATCAATCAAATACATAATCCTATCATAAACGAAATCACCAATGTCACTATGTACTCTTCAAAATTCAAAAAAAAAGTGTTGATGTAAGTTTTCTCATACTATGAACGTAACTCTAGAACAGCTTATTCCGTACTCATTGGATTCTAATTTTTATTGTCACGAAAAGCACAAGAAAACAATAGACACAACGATCTGAAACACTATTACTGTCTCGTTATTTAAACAACATCGATAAGAAAAACTAAATATTTGACTTGAAAGGACATAAAACTGGAATGATACATATTGCTGACTAGAACACTAATTACACAAATGAAAATGTTTCAAAACATTCAAGAGTTTTTCTTGTCTACCATTTTCCTTGTTCACAATGTTGCCCGAAAAATTTTCCTGTTGGTCCATCATCCGATAATGTAGCTAAGTAAATAATTGGTTTTGTAGCAACTGCAATGGCATGTTCATGATATGTTGTTAAATCAGTAGGTATTGAGCCAGGTGCGCACGCATTAACTTTAATTCGTGTTCCTTTTAAATCGTTTGCCAATTGAAGTGTTAACATATGAAGTGACGCTTTTGAAGCACTGTAAGCACAATGAAATTGAGGTTGTCGGCTTGTTTCGTGAACGTAAAATGAACCAAGATCATTTGAAATGTTAACAATACGTCCTGCTGGTGATTGTCGCAGTAACGGCATAAAAGCTTTTGTTACAGAAAATGCACCAAAAAAATTAACTTCAAAATTAAGTCGAATTATATCTAATGGTAATTCAATTGGCCGTGGTTCTGGTAAATAGATACTGCTATTATTAATAAGAATATCTAGACGACCATATGAATTTTCTACTTCTGTCACAGCCAAATCAATGTTTCCTTGATTGGTAACATCAATAAGTACATAAGTAACTGGAAGATTTTGAGATGCTAATTTTTCAGCAGCTATTTCACCTTTGGTTTCATCACGAGAACCAATTAGTACTTCAATACCTCGTTCTGCTAATAGACGTGCTACTTCAAAGCCAATACCTTTAGTTCCGCCTGTGATTAATGCAACTCGACTGTTGCTCATACTGTTACTTGCAGCCATTTGCTAGTCAAATAAAATATCGTATGATCTTTACTCTTATTTTCTACCACCGGATCCTTGGATCAAATGATTAAATGCTTCAGTTGTCGTCTCGTCATGAAATGAGTGAATGAGTTTTCAATTCATTGTTCTCTTACTTTTCTCTTACACTGATTGGTTACGAACAGACGAATTGGAAGCGTCGTTTCTGTCTTTTTTCTTCCTTCCACTACTACCATGTTGTTTGTGTATTTATTTATCTTGTGTTGGTATTGGATTGATTCATTACTAAATATATTGTTTGAGTCTCGTGTCTTTTCAATCTATTAAAATCACCTGAGGACTCTGCAATATGTCTTAATTTCAGAATCACATTGAATTCGGGCAATTTCAACTTTAAACTCTAAATTTTATTAAAAAAAACTAAAATTTCATAATATCTAGAAAAACATTGAATCATTGCCTTATTTGGAAACTTACCTATATAAATGTATCTATTTAAGACATTCATTATTAACAAACAGCTTTTTTATTTGAAAATTCGATAATAATGGCAACTGAATCATCAGAAATGGACACAGACACAACTGTTGCATCAACAACAGATGCATCGAGTGGACAACGTAAACGATTCGAAGTTAAAAAATGGAATGCAGTGACATTGTGGGCATGGGATATTGTAGTTGATAACTGTGCCATATGTCGAAATCACATTATGGACCTCTGCATCGAATGTCAAGCAAATCAGGCAGCAGCAACAACTGAAGAATGTACTGTAGCTTGGGGTGTTTGCAATCACGTAAGTGTTCCGGATATCTTAAATACTGAAGCGAAATAATTGATCAAAAACTTTTTTTTTCCGTTGTTGTTATGATATTTAGGCTTTTCATTTCCACTGCATATCACGATGGTTAAAAACACGTCAAGTATGTCCATTAGATAATCGCGAATGGGAATTTCAAAAATATGGCCGTTAATCAAGTTAATACAACTGATCGATTATTATATCGAGTTTATAATTTTATCGTGCTGGATAACACGCTATTCGAGAAACTAACTTTTTCTTCTTTTCTTCATGACTTTTTTTTTGTTTAAATGTGATTTCCACAGATGAACTTTTTCTTGAAAAAGTGCGATTTACACATATTGAAGTTTTCTTTTTTTTAAGTGCGATTTGCATACATGATCTTTTATGATGGAAAATAAATAAATTCTTTATTTTACTTTAGATATGAATCATTTAATAGGTTTATCTCGACGAAGTGTTTTATTAACAAATCGTCTACCAATTCAAACATCAATTCGTACTGCCCTTAATAATCGTGATTGGCGTCCGAATGAGGACGCTCCAGTGTCACCTGAAGATCGTGCAGCTACTGCACGTAAATATAATATATTAGAAGAAGATTATAAGCCATTGCCACCTGAAAGAAATGCTGGTGATATGCCAGATGTTGCACCGGCTGGCAAATATTTTGATCGAAACCCATGGGAAGACTATGATTATGCTGCGGATAGACAAAATTGGAATGAACCACGTCATCCTGAAGATCATATTAAGTATGATAAAACACGTCTTGGACATGGACCAGAAAAACAACCCATCATATTAAAAGAATTATTGAAACTATTAGTTTTACCAGTCACATTTATATTAGCTGCTTATGGTTTACGTTCGCTTGAACTTATGACTCCAACGTTTCGTTCACCAAAAGTTGAGCCTGGTGTTGTGCATTATTCATTTGAGAAAAATGATGATTCAGGACACGGTGTTCGATATTAGACAAGCACAAAAATAAAAATAAAAACATTTAATGAACTTTTGTATGCGTAGTAGTACAGCAGTTTTTCTTGTATTTACATTAAAGAAAAATAAGATAAGGAAACAAAAAAAAAGGAATTATAAAATTGTTTGCTTTTCATTTTTAATTGAAAGAGAAAATATTTCGATTTTATAACTTCATAAATGATTACCATATCAAAGAAGTTTGACACGAATCACATACATGTCTGTACTACAAGAAGAGTGCAAGCATGTATATTCTGAGAAATGCATTTGACGACCAGGATGACTTAAACTAAGAAGTATCTTTATTTTCTTGTTTCATTCCTTCCCCGCTCTTCTACTTTTCCTTCATTTGTTTCGATTCTTTTATGCAATATAACGCCGCTTTTTCCCCTCGCTTTGCCTCATCTGTGCGCTTGAGCACACATACAAGCGTTAATAGTATTGCCTATCGACAACCGTTAAAATCATTCATGTTTTGTTAGAGACAAGACAGGAAAGAAGAAGAAGAAGAAGAAGAAGAAGAAAAGATAATTCACGGTTATTGCTATTACTGTCAGTCATTGCGTTTTTCTTTCGTAGCGTTTACATTTTAGGTTGTCCTGCACTAGTAGAGATATAATTATCATATAGCTAAATAAAAAAAATTTGTTTTTCTTTCTCTAATATTTTAGATGTGATGACTAATACTATAGAATACAATGTGTGAACAAACAAAACGATATTTTTGTCCCCGACTTGTTGATTATGTAATTATAGTTGGTTGTCGTCATCCAAATGAATATAATCATATTACACAAACGCCCGAATTACTTCGTCGGTATCCATTAGAAGATCATAAAGATTTTGCATTGCCACCTGATGTTATATTCTTTTGTCAACCCGAAGGTTGTATCAATACTGGCCATCAAAGAACAGGCTTTCAACAATTAACCTCCTTTGTATTCACACTAACTGAAAAAGATTCGAATCGACAACGATTTGGTATATGTGTAAATTTTTATCGACATTTTTCTCGACGATCGTGCTCAATACATAGTCATAATCAACAGAAAACTGATTGCAATGATTCATCGGATGAAGGTCCTGGGCTCAATAGTCATTTAACTGTTACGCAAGAACAAACTGATGGAACTGATAGTAATGAACGTAAACGTAGAAGACGTTTAAGAAATAATACTCTAACATCTATTTGTCTTATAAGTCATCATCCTTTTTTTACACGTTTCCGTGAATGTCTTACTACATTAAAACATATTATTGACGCTTGTGATGAACGTTCATCTGCTAAACGAACTGGTGCATCTAGAGGAATATCAAGGTACGTATTCAATAGTTCTTTGTGTTGTTTTGTATAAGAAATTTTAATTTTCAGAGAAACTGTTTGGAGTATTTTAACGGGTCAAGCTTGCGAATGTACATCTAATATAGTAGGCCGTGAAGTTCGAGAAATTGAAACATGGATGTTACGATTGCTAAGTGCACCGGTGTCAATTCCTGGAAAGACAAAAGTTTCAGTAGGAAATTAAAAAAGAAAACTTTTGTCATTAATAATTTATTTGCTTTTATCTTTAGATAAATATTCTTCCAAATGAACCTCCAATGTTATTTGCTCTACCAGATCATACGAGATTTTCTCTAGTAGATTTTCCTTTGCATTTACCCCTTGAATTGCTTGGTGTTGATTTATGTATACGTGTATTAACATTAATTATGCTTGAAAATAAAGTAAGAAATCGAAGAGAAATAATTGTTTTTCGAAATCAAAATTTTAGGTTGTTTTTCAATCGAGAGATTACAATGCTTTAACAATGAGTGTGCTAGCATTTGTAGCATTACTTTATCCACTTGAATACATGTTTCCTGTTATACCACTATTGCCTACATGTATGACTGGTGCTGAACAGGTAAATTGATTGTTCTCGTTTAAACTAAATTTTTGCTTTTGTGTTTACAAGCTTTTACTTATTCCAACACCATTTATTATTGGTGTACCAGCAAGTTTTTTTCCTTATAAAGGTATGGGCTCGAAAAAATTCGATGATATATGGATTGTAGATCTAGATACAAATCAGGTTTGTTGCTTTTTATAAAACAAAAAAAAAACGATTTGATATTTATTTTTTCTATTAATTGAAAAAAAACAAACAGATTGTTCCACCACGACATGCTGAACCATTTTTTGATATACCAGAATTCGAATACTATATATTAAGCAATCATTTAAAACAAGCATTAGGTAGTATGTCAGTAGATAGAGAACCGATACAAAATTTTGATACAATATCAAACGATAAATTTGATACAACAGACTCGAAACCTTTATCGTCCATAGCAACCGATCCATTTGTATATGGAACGGACGTTGATTCAGTTGATATTGCTACTCGAGTAGCAATGGTTAGATTTTTCAATTCACCTAATATACTTGGACATTTCAATGAATATACAAGAACATTGAGATTGCATCCAAGAGCCGTTGTTGCCTTTCAATATAGTTGTTTTGTACGATCAAGACCTGTGAAATCAGCCTTTATTATACGATTAGCAAAAACACAAGTATGACAGCAAGCAAAAAAAAACGTCCGTTAAAATAAAATTTATTTAGGCTGTTGAATTCTTTGCCGAATGGTCTCTATGTCCAGATAATGTAGCATTTTTACGTGTACAAACTGGTGTTTATGATCCAGCTCTAATTGGTGATAAAGCCAAATGGTACAGTCAAGATTTAAGATCAATACCGTTTAATGTTGTTCAAGAAAATAGTACACTCGGTCAAGCACTTAATTCATTGAATGCAAAATCGCATGATACTGAACAAACACCAACAGGTTTCAATCGATTTTTGTTTAACTGTTAAAATAATTAGAAAAGGTTTTTTCTTCTTCTTCTTATATTTAAGATGAAAGTGGAAGTGATTCCGAAGACGAAGAAGATAGTTCAAATTCTTGTTATTCATCATTAAGTGATTTTGTCTATGAAATGCGTAATAGTGGAATTTGCGGAGAAATTCGGGGTATTTGATTTGAAGAAGAACATTACTTTTTAATCGTCAATTAATATTTTAGAAAATAAAATTTATCCAGAAAATCAAGAAAAAACAGCCTGTGTGGAATATGCAACAGTTTTTAGTCCACCAGAACAATTGCAAATTCCACAAAATCCAAATAAAATTTCACCAATGACTGACTCAACGTTAAGTGTAAATTCAAATTCAGATGAGACTTCCAAATGTGATTCACCTATGGAGGGAAGCTATCGAGTTGTACCAGATCTATCTGGAATACGAATGGACATAGATTCAATATCTCGTTCAGCTACAATAACATCTGCTACTAAAAATGTTTCGAAGTACGTATTATTTGAGTTCTAGCCAATGAAGAGAAGTTTACATCGTGCATTTCTATGCATCACTTTTTGACTTTAGAACATCTCAAAATGAAGAAAATGGTATACAACCAACACTATTAGAAAGTTCCATAGAAATTCATATAAATAATGAAAAGCAAAGTAATCAGGACTCAGAAAATAATGCACGTCTTAGTTCATCGTTATTTGAACAAATGGGTGATGAGATCAATGCAACTGTGGCTGGACGAGTTGTGACAAACATAGCTAAATTGGCAACAAATAAAGTGTCAGAATTATTAAGTATGTTTGTTGAATTAGTAGAGAAAAACAAAATTATGTATTCTGAAATTTTAACATAGCTTTCTCTGATAATCCAGTTAAAACAATTCCATCGAATGCGAATCGTTCTTTATTAGACATCAAACCAAATCAGTCAACTGAAAATTCTAATGTAATAAAATATATTGGACGAAATTTTAGTTCAATAGTTGTTGATCGTCCACGAGAATTTTTTCGACAACAAAGTGTAGAATTAAAAGCTAATACGCACAATGAAAGCCAATTATTTCTAAAAGATATTGTTACAAGTGTACTCGATGGATCAGGTATCGGATGGCTGAAAATAAATCGTGTGAAAAAATTAATGGAAGATGAAAATTATAGAAATTTTGTACTTGGTAGATTGAATGTGAGTTTGGACAGACGATATTCGGATGAAGATGCTCATATTGACGATGTGGTAAGTTATTATTGAATGAAATTGAAATTCATTTTGTAAGGCGTAGTTTAAGTTGGATATTCAAAAGAAAGTTGTGAAAAATTAAACTTCTCGATAATCTATTTTTGGATAAAAATCAATGAATTCTTCATTTTAGAAAGTTAGTCGAGCCGTCTTTAAAGGTATGGTAAACATTTTACGTGCTGTTATTCAAGGTCTTGAAGCAACATTTGAAAATAATGGCGTCGGTGGTATGGCATCAACATTTCAATTACTTGAAATTGCTCATACACATTACTGGATCAAAGATAGTACTGTTCGAAGTGACATAAGTCCCATGTCTGAACGCAATAGTCCTCTTGTTGGTAGTCGTGAAAGTTTAGCATCCATCGATCCCAATGTCCCCGTTAACTCAACAGGTCTTTCATCTAATGTGCCGCTTCAAGAGAAGCCCAATGAATTAACAAGTCCGACTGCAAGTCTTGCTGCTCAATTAGGTAAGAAGAGAAAACAAAAACGAGAGTATTTTTCTAGTTTTACTAAAGACAAACAGGATGAATTTGTCACTGAATTATTTTCAAACCATAGAAAAAAAACACGTATTTTCAGGAAATTTCTGGCGTGAATCCAAATCAGTGTTATCACGTAGTTTTGCGTCTGCAACACAAGCAACCGCTGCCTTTACACCGAATTTTGATTCGTTTTTAAATCCACAACATTCATTTTCATCTAATGTACCGTATTCTTCAACACACACTGTTAATCCATCAACACCCTCGAATTTTCATTCTAATGAAAATCTATTATTAAATCAAACTTCTTCAATGTTAAATCATAATGACATCGAACAGAAAATCGGTATACTATTGTACTCGCTGTTGTGCTATCGCTATACACCGTTGTCAAAGTCTCTTTGTGAATCGCACGTTTGCTTTTGTCTATATGCTATTCTAATGTTAAATATTTTGGAAATGAACTTGAGCTTTATTAAAATTTTTTCTTCACTTATTTAGATCAGATCGAAGTCGATGGCGATGAATTTCAGAATATAGAAATCGTATCTGATCCAATATCTAATTCTATGGAACCATCTACTGCCGAAGTTAATACTAGTAATTTGAATGCAACGAGTAAGTTCAATTTTTGGTTATATTTATTTTTTTACAAATTTTTCTTTATTATGCAAATAGCAATGGATAATCAGATTCGACCTAACTCATTAAATTTAATTATTGAAGTGAGTTCTTTTTGATAGAATTAACATCAAAATTAATGTTCTTTTAATTAGCCAAAGTCTAAAACTTACATCAGTATTTCTCGTGTGAATTCAGCAGGAACATCCGATGAAGAAAATGGCGTAGATTCTGCTTCATCAACTAGACGTGAATCGAAAATAAATCAGGATCCTAGACGATTATCGACTATATCGACGGAGGATAGATTAAAAAATGAACATGCACTATTATTATCAACAGTTAAAAGTTCATTGTCTACTGGGTTCAGGTATTTACGTTTATTTGAAAAATCGATGGTTGTACTAACGAGAAAATCTTTCGAATTATTGGAATTTAATACTATTTGATTTATCATGATGAATTATAAAACATATCAATTTCGATCTGAATTTTCTCATCCTCGTATTCAAGATAGATATTTCCGTATTTTTGACTTAAATATCTTAGCATAGTTCAAAATTGCAAGCGTTTTTGAGCATAATGAAATTTCCTTAGTTGAACTTTTTTGATACCCTGAATTTATTATACAAAAATAGAATAGAATATTGAGCATCAATACACGAAGATACAAAAATATAGCCAACAGAGACTTTATTAGTACACCCTCAAGATGACTGATGAAATGATTCAACTCTCAAGACATAAATGTTTCTACATTTAAGAGTATTCCCTAGTAAATAAACCTACGCGTTTATTTTTTTTCTCTCCTATTATTAATAGAATTCAAATAAATAAAATATTATCTATGGATAAAATATGCGCCTAGACGGATAAATGCCTAACATCCGAGATGTAGCAAATATTTATGAGTCAATGCAATATTGATTTTCTGTAAATAACTGTGGCCCCCAGATGTCAAAATATCTTTAAATATCTAGAAAACAAAATATTGCTTGTACAAAATTCTATACGCATCATCGACTATTGTTCTATTAAATATGACAAGTTGAATGTTTAATTTAATTTAGATTTCGAAACGGATCTTTAATAGAAATAACTGGAAATAATACTGTATCGGTCAATGATAAACAATATATATTCGAAGTTCTTGCTGGTAGCGCTCGTAGTTATCTATGGGATCAAATGCAAATTTGGGAAGATATGTTTCTCGATGCTATCGCTCAAGAACGTGATATTATTGGTCTCGATCAAGGTCCAGCTGAAATGATGGAACGGTAAAAATGAACGATTGAGTCAAACACGAAAAATTTTCATTCTTCTCTTGCTGTTTTTTTTTTGTAAAGTTATTATTCGTTGTCGCAAACTGATCGAAGACGTCTTGAATTAGATGAAGATCGTTTGTTAGCTGTACTACTTTATAATTTAATTGCATTTATGGTCATGATGCGTGTCAGTAAAGACGAAATTCGTCGAAAAGTGCGTCGAATGCTTGGTCGATGTCATATAGGTTTGTCAATGAGTCAACAAGTAAACGAATTAATTGATAACATAGCTAATTTGGTAAATTAGAAAACAGGCTGAAAGAGAAATTCGCTATTATTTATGAATTCTTTTGTTTCAGAATGGCAATGATATTGATTTACGACCGGCAACTAGTCGTCTTTTGCAAAAGCAAAGTTTTACTGTACATTGGGGAACCGATAGTAGTGGTGATATGCTTTTTATGGAGGTAAATTTGTAAGGAAAAGAAAATTGACAATGAATTTTTGTCTTTTAAACTATAGGTATGGGATGATTGTATTATTCTTCGAAGTGTACTTGGTGAAGTTTATGATCGATGTTGGTTTGAAAAATTAGTGAATATGACATTTTCTCCAAAGACTAAAGTAATTTGCTTATGGCGAAAAACTGATAGTGAAACACAACTGAATAAATTTTATACGAAACGAGTAAATATTCAGATGAGCTTTCGAACTCTACTATGTTTATAAGCTTTTATTTTAGTGTCGTGACTTGTATTTTTCAATAAAAGAATCCATGGAGCGAGCAGCTAGTCGGATGAAAGGTGCATTGCCCGGTAAGATTTTTCGAAAAAATAGTTCATCAAAACGAATTTGTTTTGTTATTAGATCAAGAACTTGGTGGAGAATTTCCGATAAAAAATCTTAATAATGGTGAAGGTGGACTTTTAAAAGTTTGTCTTGAAGGCATTTGGTTAACATTCGAAAATGATAAAGTAAATAGTCTCGATTCCATAGATAATACATTTTCTGTATTTTGTTCTTCTGAAGGAATTGATTGATTTACAAAAAATTCGAAAATGTACAACCCAAAAAGGCGATACATTTGTCTTAGAAGAATTCGGTAAAGAAAAATTTAATTCTTACACTTTTAAAAAGAAACATGATCTAAAACTGTACGGTAAAAATTCGCATACAATTTTCATGCATTGAATCAATAGCCACGTTGACAGCTTTTTCGTCCTGCGGTAAACCGTGCATGACTAATTCTAACTATCATCATTGACATATCGTTTTGTGCAATTTTTTCAAGGCTAAAGTAAAGGTCAATAAGCACATGTGTCACAAAGCATATAGATTAAACTAATATCGGTGCGAGTAGCCGTATTATGCTTCATCTTTTAAGCCGACAAAGGCTATGTTGATAAACTTTTTGTTTTTTTCTGTACTCTAGATTCGAATACAAAGCAAATGCTTACAAGAAAATATAAATCTTCTATGGTAAGTTCGATTGAACAGTTGGATGCGATGATTTCGTTATTATTTATATGTTGTATTTGTTTGATGTGTTATATAGGCGAATAAAATTTTGCTTGCTTTTCATCGTGTTGTTTCTATTGTGCTTGAACATCGAGATAAATCTGCTGTCAATGATGCTTTCAATGAAACTAATCGAAACTTGCAGCAGATAACAAACGAATTGGGTATTTAAAAACTAGTTTTATTATGCGTTTAAACTAAATTAAAGAAAATGTAAATGATTATAATAATATTTTATTTTTCATCTATATTATTATAGGCTGATCGGATTTGCTATGCTGTTCTATGCGTATTTTCATATGTGGCAGCTGGAAAAGATCAACAGCAATATTGAATCTCATTTTATTCCAAGAATAAATTAGTGATAACGTCTTTGGTTTCCTTCCTGTTATTCCTGAAGACGAAGAAGAAGAAAAAAGTTCCTATTGTCTTCCTTTTCATCTTTCTCTGCTTCTAGTCATATATGATTAAACAGTATATTTCTATTCTTATCAATAAGACTGCAAAAGAATATAATAAATTAATATGTTTTACGTTCATATTTATGTATTTGTTTTATTATGGTTGTTTGCATTTCGCTCTCTCTCTCTTCTAATATTTTCTCCTTCAATTATTATTCTATCTGTCTTCGGCTTTTTTTCTGATTAATTTTATCTCTGATGTACAATGTCGTTCTATTTTATGACATTTTATTAATGTTTTAATCGTTTTCGAAAATATATTCTTATTTATCTATGCAGCGGATAACATGGATATATCTTTTTCAGTTCATAACTCTCAAGATCTAAAAAACAAAGTCAAATTTGATAACATAAAAAGTTGAAAGTGACGAATATTTCTTTTTTAATAAAAATAATTGACTGAGTCTCAATAAGTACTAACTCGTTCTTTCTTGATCACTGATTGAGAAGTAAAAGAAAATAAAACCTCTAAAATGTTTTATGCATTTGTACATATTCTCTACTGACTGACATAGCATGAAATATATATATATATATATTATTAGTACATCCGTATTTGATCGATTGATATACAAGAAATGACTTAAATTAGTACTCAAACACAATTATTGATCTTCTTTCTGTGTTCATTATTTAGGTTGCGTCAGAATTGATTACTATGTGCAAATACTCCCTCGCAAAGTCAACAATTCCACTTTAATAATGCGATTAGTGCGTCATTCGGGCATAACATCTGCATTTAAAAGCATGTTTACTTTTTATCGCGAATATATATATATATATATATATTCTTGATCGAGTTTGTTAGAAATACAGCTTATAATCTTTCGGCATACACATATGTAGGTCTTCGCCAATAATTTTCTTCGAATGAAGGTTTTCTTTTGTATCATTACCTCTTTTTTTTCATTTACTTCTTAGACGAGTGGGTGGTATCAATTCATTTTCACAATACTCGTTACTATACTGCCAGCAAGTCATTTTGTTTTCAGTTGCTGTGACTCAACATTGTAGGTGGGCCATAATATATAAAGATATTTTGATCCGTTCCTGTGATATCTTATTCATGCATACTTTCTGAGTCGTTGCATATATATATATATATATCTCTTTTTTTAGGTATCAAAGGTATATTCAATATCAGTCTTCCGGTTTTTATTTAAGAGTAATGCAATCTAATATGACCTTTATTTTGTGGTTGTTTGCTGTCATTCTATATGGTGAGTATATGTCAATATATCTTGTTATTCATCAACTTGTTGTTCTTTATATATATATATATATAGTTCAAGCTCGATCTATTGCTGGTTTGAAATCAGATGAAAGGATCGAAACATTTAGAAAACACGATGATAAGGGTTTCCATTCTGAAAAATACTACAAACTATTGAGACATTTATTAAATCATCGAATGAACATATACAACGAAGACAATGATGATTTATCATCGAGGACAAAAGGAGATGCTAGTGTTTTGCTGAAACGTAGTAACTTTCTTTTTCCAAGTCGAGCTTCTATTAAACGGTATCGGCCAACACATGCCTATGGACGAAAATCACATTGGGATACGTTTTTTGGGTGAAAATCAATGATTATTGTCAGCAACGATCGTTCTTCGGTACTAATTCTAGTCTGATGCACACACATATGAGTGTTCAATGCTTGATAGTTATCAGGCCTATTTTTATTGATAAATTTATGGTTTTTATTTTTAATTCATATCAAAAAACTCTCGTTTCAATATTATAATTGTTTTTTTGTACTGTACTGATTATAGGATTTTTTTTCCTATGAGTAGCTAAATCGTGTACAATTTTTGCCTGCGATTGAAAATGCTTGTAATGCGCTAAAATAGAATAAAATATGTATTGATAATTTCTGTTTAAATACACGTTTTTCACATGGTCTCGTAAATCATTCTAGCAGTTAGCAGTGGTGTTTAGAGAAGATTGCCATTCATTATTGTCAGAAAAAAAAGAAGACAGATATTACAATATACTTCATTAGCCATAAACCATTTTTATAAGTAGCAGCTCCATTATGGCAAAACTAGAACACATTTATCAAGCGTGCACAGAATTTATCGATGTGTAACTGTCAAGATTGGCGTTTCTCCTACGACTTTTTCATGTTCTTTTATTCATCCGTATGAAATAGGGTGAGTCAATTTTCTCTGTTGCTCTGAAAGTCACAAACAACCATTCTCATATTTTATCATGTAACCACAACAAAATAACAATAAAATGTTTTTACGTTGTTTGCGACTGCCGAAAAAATAATTCCATCAAATTACGATTAACGCACATGACTCAATACCTATCGGTAATAACAATTTCTATCTGGTGAAAATTCTCTATGGCTTGCTTTGTGTACATTTAAATTAAGATAGACATCGTTGCTACAAGATTACTCTAACATGATTAGAAACCTCGTTAGTCTTTGTTTATTTTTCCCTTTCATTACGTTTTAAGTCCATCGATGCAGATAATTTTTCTAATGATAAAGAATTGCCTCAGAACAGTAACTTCAGTTACGGATAATTATAAACATCTGGCATATTGAAGATAAGACAATTTCTCTTTGCTATTACTCGCATCTGTTCATTTCAAGGTTAGGAAAAATTTTACTTTTTGAAATAAAATGAAGAAGAAGATTACCGAGGCTTTTTAAGCATTACTGTTGTTGCTTGTTGCATAAAAATTTGTCTATTATCTTTAAATACTTGACAAAAATTTTTTTCATATGCATAACATTTGGTTACTTGTGAAAAGTATTTCGTTTCAAATCCATCACAATTTAATTTTTTTCGTTGACGATATGTGCGCGCAAGAAAATTTTGTGTACAATTTTGTATATTAATCATCATTTGTCGCCCCTATTCGAATACAATAAATTAGAATAGGACAAAACAACTCTATGACAGACTCACGGGAGGCGTAAATTGTAGAATAATTTCTTTTGGAAATGATTGACATAATTCATGCGCCCATGCTGTCACACTTTCAGCATTACATTTGTAACGTTCATGAAAACATTTTATAAAATCACAACCTGTATTTAATTCTTTAGACTTTTCCAAACATTTATTAATTTCTATAAAATAAAAAATATTCATTTAAACATATTTCATACGAAAATGTGTACCTTTCGCACTCAACCATGATTTTTTTGAGCCATTAACACATATGATAAAGTAAACTAGCAATGTAGCGAAACGAACCGCTTTCAACATCGCGAAGATGAGAATTACACAAATGAATGCATGTCTTTCATTTATCTCTTATTTTACTTTGCTGCTCGATGCACGGTTTTAAATTACAAGTACAGAATACGAAAATGTTCTTTACGATAGATAAACGATTGGACTATTAAAAATAAGATGCAATCATTAATCTAGATACTGCGCACTTCGGCATCCATAGGTACTTCATCTAGTTTACTGAGTACACCGAGGACATATATCTAAACGAGTTCAAATTGAAGTAAGACAATAGTCCTTTGATTTTTATCTTCTTTTACATAGTAATTAATGAAAATTGGAGAGATCCTATTCAGATTGTCGGTTATTTCAAGAAGCAGCTACAAGATAGTTGTAAGGCATATAAACATACTGAATGTCCTTTTTCTGCCAGATCGTGTCAATGGAAAAAAATTAAAAAAGTACTTTGCAATTCAAGCATTCATAACGATCGTTTTCAATATGCACCCGAGAAGAATTTATAATGCATCATCTGCGTGATTTTATAACTATCAAGATAATACTCATACAAAATATCGAATTAGAGATATTACCATATGCATTAATTAATCAGCAATAGACTTCACAAGTCGGTAATAGAAAAAAAAATTAAATTGATTGCGTCAATGGTTAGGTCTCTGTTGGAAACTTGAGTATCACTGGATAATTAATGCATGTGAATGATATGTGCAATAAAATACAGCATGTTTATGTCCTGATAGTGTGACATTCTAGAACATCCGTTAAACTATACCACCGATAAAACCGACTGTTAAATTGAATTTCAAGCACGTGAAGTTTGATTTGAATCTGATTATTTTCTAGAAGGACATCTGTCGGAAATGATTAACATAATTCATGTGTTTATACTGCTACATTTTTATTATTACAATTGTAATCTTCATGAAAACATTTTATAAAATTACAACCTGAATTTGAACCTTTTCAATCATTCAGTAATTTCTACAAAATAAGTTAATTAATTTAAACATTTTTCATGCGACCATATTTACTTTGTTTATTCAGCCTTAGTCCTTTCGAACTATTGCCACACATGATAAGGTCCAACGGCAATGCAGCTACGCGAATCGTTTTCAAAATCACAAAGGCAAAAACTACTGCATGTCTTTCATTTATCTATTTGTTTTTTGGTACTCGATGCACAGTTTTGTTTTTAATTTCAACTACAGAATGCAAAAGTATTCTGTATGAGAGATAAACAATTGGATTATTCAAAATAAAATGAAATCATTTATCTAGATACTACTGCATATCGACATACAGAGGGACTTGATCTGATCTACTGACTTCATGAAGGATATACACTTAAAAACGGCGTTAGCGCAAGCCCTGCCAGATTTAAATGTCAAACAGGATAAATCTACTTCCTGAAAGTCATCTGCCGTAGTCTATGTGGAACGAGACGCTGGGTGCGATTTTCTGCTGTGTGCACTTCAACATCTCTTTTAGATAGTGTTTAACAAAACTAACGGAATAAAAATAAATACTCGAATCAGGCAAACGTCAGAGAAATCGAAGGATAAATTATATATAAATATGTAAAGTAATTATTGAGAATTTCAGAAATCCTATTCAAGTTATCAATTAGTTTCAGTACTAACTGCAAAACAATTGTAGAACAAATACACATGCGGAATTTCTTTTTTTCCTGTCGGATAGTGTCATGAGAATTATATATGCTAAAATAAAACATGCATACGCCCTTAAAATGCAAATTGCCAAAGCATGAGGTCAATTGGATCTTTTGATCATGGGGAGTTTAACTATCAGAATTAAATTATTCAATTATTCGTATAAAAATATAGTTTAACAAATGCGAATACAATTCATTGAAAAGAATATGTTGTGCGGCGATTGTGTTCCCCCTCAGTAGATTGTTTTCTTGAAATACAAAGCGGCTGTGAGAAGAAATAAGCGAGATATTTACATTGAGCATTACAAAATGAAATGAACACAATTAGCTGCTTGTAAATTCTTTGATATTAGAGTGAGCTTGAAAAGACACAGCATGAAGAAATATTCAAGTCTTCAATCATACTCAGTTTTATTTATATTTGTTGCAAGGTTTTATCTTGTATTTATGCATAGATACGTGCGGAGTTTTCGCTGCATTTTATTATAGACTAACTAGACCCAGTCGGAAGACCTTCATTTAACATGAATAGACAAGAAATATATCGTCTTCTGAATTCTTGTCTATTCATGTAGATGAACGTTATCTGTGCATAATAAAGAAAAGACATCTAAATAATAGAACCAGGCTGATGTTTTTAACTTGAATGGATATAGCGATTAAAACTTGCAATTCTTTGATGAATACAATTTCGAATGCGTTAAAATAGGCTTTGAAAGCCATATTTATGAACATGTTTGCATGTTACTGTGCTGTAAATCCCCGTAGAGCTTTGAAATGTTTTGAAAAGATGAACAATTAAATGCTGTATTCGGATCACAAAAGTCAATTTTTATATTAATTCTCGAAATTTCACTGGATCATTAACACTACTCGGTTTATTAGGAAACTGAAAAGTAATTCCGGACCAAATGGAACGACAACCAGGACAAAAATTTCCTATTTTTGATCATGAAACGTTTTATTTCTAGTGATCATCTACCGGCTAATCCATTTTATGGATACCTTTGATGAAAATACAGATTTAAAAAATTGATTTTTTTCGATCCCAGGATAGGAATATCTTGCAGTTTCTTAAGGCGGGGGGGGGGGGGGGGGGGGGGGGGGGGGGGGGGGGGGGGGGGGGGGGGGGGGGGGGGGGGGGGGGGGGGGGGGGGGGGGGGGG